GGGGAAGCCCGAAGAGGGTTTTAAATGGGATTATTATTTTTTCCCTTGACACCGTTCTAATTTAGAAAAAAAAAAAAAAAAATCTTTCTTTTTGATATATGCTTAAATTACCGACTGATCCCTCAAGATACTTTGTTCGAGTGACGGTTTCGAAACGAATAACGGACATTGTTAATGAGAAGGATATATGGGTGTACTCGTATCGAATGCCACCGGAAAGCAATAGCTCTATTAAAATGGAAGTTGGTATCGAGGACTGTCTACACATTGAATTTGAGTACAACAAATCGAGGTAGTCATCTGAAATGATTGTAGTTATTTGGTGATTTTTCATTATAACGACAACAAAAAAACCAAAAAATATTAGGTATCATCTTAAAGATGTGATCGTGGGGAAAATTTACTTCCTGCTGGTTCGAATAAAAATCAAGCACATGGAGTTATCGATTATTCGCAGGGAAACAACTGGGGCCGGTACCGCATTTTTTTAAAAAAACAACATGCGTTCGTGTTCTTACCTTTTCAATTATCCCACGCACATCATTGAACAATGTTTATTATGGTAGCTCCAAATCAATATAACGAAAGCGAGACGATCACGAAGTTTGAGATTATGGATGGAGCACCAGTGCGCGGTAAGCTCAAATTCGCGCGTGCATAGTTCCTCAACGTCCAAGTGAGAACCCGCGATTTTTTTAATAGTAATGATTATGCCGGCTTACTTTTGTAGGCGAAACGATTCCTATTCGTCTATTTCTTGGTGGATTCGAATTGACGCCTACTTTCCGTGAGGTAAACAAAAAATTCTCCACGCGTTATTACCTCAATTTGGTACTCGTTGATGAGGAAAATCGTAGATACTTTAAACAACAGGAAATCACTATCTATAGAAGAAGAGGTATGTCCGTGTCATTTATCGTTCGTCCACTGTCGAGACACACTGAACAATTCGACAATTCTTGTTTCTGTGAAAACAGTGGATGACGGTCTTCCAGCAGAAGACGAGTTAAAAGCGTGACGGCCGATGACAAATTCAGATGAATGATAGAACTATTCTTACTTATTATTATGTTTTTATTTTTTTATTTTTATTTTTGATTTATTGTAATTTTTATATTTTAAATTCACATATTGATAGAATCTTCCATCTAACACGGTGAATTCATTTGAAAATTTGTTCTTCGGGAGTCGATAATGATTCTGAATAGTTACTAGTTAAATTTAAAAACCATTGTATCTATATAAAGGTGTTAACCGTTTAATCGTCAATTAATTAAGTTAGTCGACTTATCTACGCAATAACAAACAAAATTAATTATAATGTAGTAAATATATAATCCGAATATGATTAGATCGAGTGGTTCATATCACTATAGTAAATATTTTTTCATCATAGTCGTGACTTGATCGAACACGACCAAGAGGATGCCACCTCCTGGGCCAAGTCGAAGAAGTTTGGGAATGAACCCTTTGTAAAGAGCCCTGACTCCTTCCTCCTTGGCAACTATGCCTACAGCAGGAAGAGTCCAGTTATACTTCCTCACCGGTCCTGAATCGTTCTGGATCCTGGTTTTGACCACATCAAACGGAGTATTCAGCATGGTCCCCACAGTGCCGCCAATGGTTCCCGCAATGAAATTATTCCTCAACTGTTGTTGCTTATTGGTTGCCTTGGGTAGACTACTTCTCACACCGAAAATCACACCGAAATAGCCACCATTCCAAGCTCCGTGCCTCCATATAGTAGCCTCCAACCCATTAAACAATGCGCGTATTCCCTCTTTCTTGACAATTTTGGCTAAGGCGTCTAAGGTGCCAGTGTATTTTCCGGTATTCTCTTTATTTTGGAGGCGGATTTTGACGAGTTCAAAGGGAACTATGATAATTGCCTCAGTGATACCTGCACCGATACCGGATTGAATGGATATTGATTGAGTCAACTTGTCAACTCCGTAGTATTTTTTTAATAAATTAGAATATTTTTCATTCGCCGAGAACTTGATGGCTCTCTTTGGAGCTTCCACAAGGATGGGGGGAAGGATGCCTCTATAGAGTCGACCAAATCCTTCATTCTTGATGATTTTTCGAAGGCAATCCATCACCGAAGTATACCTTTCGCCGCTAACCGTGGTATTGTCCTGTAGCTGAAATCTCGTCTTTACCACATCGAGAGGGTACATTACAAGAATTTCACTGACTCCTGCAATACCACCGGCAGCAAAGTGATATAAAAACGGAAGTGATTTTTCGGTTTTTGCGGGGGTTGTGGTGGACATGGTGAGAGGAGAAGAATTTTTTTAAAAAAAAAAAAGAAAAGAAAAAAATTTTTTTTTTTTTTTTTTGAGCACTTACGGACCGAGGGAGGGGAGATTAAATACTGTATATAAAGGATAAACATTCATTTTTCTTTCGATAATCAAATCTACTCATTAGACTAATTAGGAAATTGCTGATTAGGATATTTTTTTTTTTGAGATCATCTAACTTTAACTACATTTGCGTAATGTACTAATTGTGACGTGGTAGCACAGGTTGCGATAAGCTCTCCCGTGTACAATAAGACAATATACAGACCCCTGTTTGCTTGAAAAAGGTCGTCACACTTGGAATTCTAATTATAACATAGTTTAAAATATGGAAGGTCGCTCCTTTGAAGAAATAAAGTATGCGCGCGGAAATGACTTGATTTCGAGTCATGGACTTTTTCTTCCTTTTTTACCCCTGAAAACTAAATATAACGAATGTTGATCTAGATCAAAATGGGATACTATTTTTAAGGATCCATTGCTTTCTCTAACTTCCTTACGAGAGAGGGGCGTCAGAGGAAACTCCTGTTCCGTAGGTTTAAGGTCGGTCTGTTGGAAGGTAGGCGATGAACTTTTTTGTTTAAAAAAAAAAAAAAATTCGAAAGTTTCTCACCTCCGCGACATAAATAGATATACCTGGCGTACCTTCCGAGCCTAGACATTGCAACTTGGCCACTGACTCTTCACAAGGAACGTCAACACTACGCCGATCTTCGTCAAAAATATATCACCAGCCCAACTTCCGATTCCGAGAATGATGGTTCCGCCAATGATTTAAGTGTGAACAATCCATTATCGCTGGATCAGGCCGTACGTATGAAATTTGACCCGATAACAATCATCCGAAATTAATTGAATGTTCACATCTATAGAATCCTTGGCAAGAATATTTTAAAGACACAGAGTTACGAAAAATTATTAGGCAAGATGTGGAACGAACGTAGGCACTCAATGACCTTATATCCGCAATAGTCTAATTGATCAAGATACCTAAATGGATGCATACATATACTTATCATCACTTATTTCATCATCAGGTTTCCGGACAATGAGTACTTTCGTTCCCCGGAAACTCAAAGTCGACTATTGGACATTCTTTTCATATATTGCAAGATGAATACGGATGTTTCTTATCGCCAGGGGATGCACGAATTATTGGCACCAATATTATGGGTCATTGATAAAGAGAGTTTGCCGACTGCCAGCGGATATGCGGTGGACAATGATGAGGATGCAATAATTAAGCAAACAATAGATGTTGGTTTTGTGGAGCATGATACATTTGCATTATTTTCCGCATTAATGAAATCGGCAAAGGTTAATTACGAGTACAATGACGAGGTGTTTAACCGCAGACCCTACAAGGCATGCTATACTATCTTGAATGATTGGATATTATTTATCCTTTGGAATTCCCGTTAACAAATTTCGAAATCATTTAGCGTGCGCAGGGCACCGATCAAGATTATTCCAGAATGATCAAGGAGGTCCAAGCAGAGGTATCGCGCATGTGAATTCACCTGAACCTCCTCAAAGAAATATTCACATCACATTTAAATAGGCAGCCAAGTTAACGCCGGTGGTCATGAGGTGTAATAAAATCCACGAAGAATATCTGAAAATGATTGACCCCGAATTATACTCGCATTTAAAAAATTTGGAAATCGAACCTCAATTATATGGAATGTAGGTATCTATCCCTCCGGTGTGATGTCGCGATACCGATATTATCATCCCTCCGGGGTTGATACAACCTCTCGTTGGTTATGTTTGACCGAAGATGTGGCACACCGAATCATACAAATGTAGCTAATATATTTGTAAGGTCTCGCGATGTCGACGATGGGTAACGTCAATAGAAGCTAATGTAGGATTTCTTTCCCTTGATCAATAGACGTTGGATCAGACTCCTTTTCGGGCGGGAATTTCCTCTGGACAAAGTCTTGACGCTGTGGGATGGAATTTTCGCAGAGGATCCAACCTTAAGAATTGTGGATTTCGTGTGTGTGGCGATGATGCTTCTAATTCGTGATGAGCGTGAGTGTTCCCACGAATTATCGATTCCATTGAGGAGTTTGCACTGCTAACCCAATCATTCAACCGATAGTACTCGATTCTGATTATGCCGGATGTTTAAGTATGTTGATGCGATATCCTGCCATAGATGATGTTGAGGTACTCGTACCACAGGCGATATACCTTCGAGATCACTTGTCCCAGGAGGGTGGTGAACAAATCATACAACAAAACGCAGTCAGATTAGGGAAACCTATTATATTACAATCACTCCCTGTCAAGCGAGATGCCGTGCGAATTGAAGGGCTGGTACAAGGTGGCATTGTCAGCGTAACTAAAAATGTCCTGGAAAGTCGCGGCGCTGCGATGATCAATAAAGCTATACTATCGGCGGTCGGGGCGAATTTTCGAAAACGTCAAAATTCACCCGATTTCTCTTCGAGATATCAACACGTGTCGCATGACCCGCTGTATACAGACGTCCCATACCAACCGAGTAAGATAAACTATTTGGATCAATCTAATCAAACAAGACATAATTTTGAAGAGATCACAAGATTAAGAGAACAGAATCGTCAAATGGGTATAGTTGTACAGAAGGTCATCGATATTCTTGAATCAAAATTCAGGGAGGATAACGATAAGATTGAGAAAAGCTCTGAAGGGTCTGCGTCTCGATCGTCATTCGAGTATATTGCGGGAAATAGCAACGAGGAATCGAGTGATACCTTGCCTTCCAGCGATCCCCTTCACGTGTTAAAGGGACTTAAGCACATCGTGGATGTATTGAATGGATCGGGAGAACTAAATCCTCATATTCTGGACTCACCACCAAGTAATGTTCACGAGGATCACGAACACTGGGAGGTGGTCGACGACGAAGTTAGCGTGGTTAGCATCGCTGGAACGGAGGATGAAGCCGCTCCTTCCGTCACCAAAGAAGTTAGAACGAAACAGGAAAAAAACGTGCCCAGCATTCCAAAGCCTTCAATTACGGGGTCTGCTATCGCAAAGCCCATTTCGGTTCCTCGCTTGAATTCCACGTCCCTTCCACCGATTCCAACATCGTCACCACCGTTACCACCGTTACCAAGGTCTTCTTCCCCCAAATCACCACCGTCATCGGATAATGATGTCACCAACTCCACAGGCGTATTTCATTCAGAATCGGAATCCCCGGCTAACGAAAGGTCGTCTTCTTCTTCAACAACAAAGATGTCGAAAGCATTACCACCCACGCCGAAAGTTGCAAGACCCACATCGACCAAACCAAAATTCAAATTAGAGGACATTTTGGATGCGGCGGAAAATGATGACAGTGAAACATCAAAATCGTCTATTTCATCTAATTCAAAATATAGTTGGATGGTTGAAGGTTTCACGGACGATGATGATAATTCATTGTTCAATCCAAAAAGAGCCAGCGTCAATAGCATCAACAGTTTAACTGGTTATGCATCCGGCTTAGGATACGCAGATGGTGAAGATCATGTCAGGAAAATAATACCGACGACATCGGCAGCGACGCAAAGACGTTCACAAAGTTCAATTTCTTTCGCCGCACCTTCAAACCTTATTGATCCACTGAGCGAGTCACCGTTTGAAGATAGCGTCGAGGAGAAGGGTATAGATGAAAGAAGTATTGAATCGATACTATCAACCTCAAGAAGCACCAAAAAGGTTAGCAGCCACCATCCCATCACACCAGCCGTCCCCGTTGAAGATCCACTGGGAGTTTTGTAAATTCCGAAAGAAAAAAAAAACTTGGACGAGATGTCACATATAAACAAACCAACGTATTCTTTTTATTATGTATGCATCAATAAATTAACATTAACATTATCACATTTTACTATGCTATTTGAAATTAATAATATGAATCTCTAACTTCGAAAGAAGTGTATCACCAAAGGATTGCGGTAAACTGGGTTCTACAGAAAACATTTTTGATATCATGATCAGCTAGCCTCAAGTTGTATCTATGGCTCATTCGTGCTATCTTAAAACGTAATGTATGGATGATTCCAACAACCAGAAATCCAAATGACGGCAACAACAATCATGAAATGGTACAACAGCTGTTGGTCTGTAAAAAAATTGAAGCGAATAAATTGATGGAGAAGGGGTCCATCAAAAATGCAAGAAATACGGAATCCAAAGTTTGTCACAAACCTTTTTTGCTTGTTTGTAGAATGCTTTTGATTGAAAAGAAATCTCTTGTGATCTGTCGATTAGGTCGTCCAATTTTTCGCCACGTTGCAAAAGAGTTTCAATAGTTTTATTCTAATAACCGAAAGATGACAAAAAAAAATCTTTGGTCAGCACACCACATTGGCGTCATTTTGCGTTAATTTTTCAATTCAACACTCACCATGACAAGTTTGGTCTCATCCAATTGTTCCTGAACCTTAATAATTTGATCCGCTTGCTTTGGATCTTGATATTTTACCAGATAGGTTTTTAACTCCGGATAAACGATTGTCTGGGGTTTCCATGTATCCCTGGGAAATTTTGTGAGAAATTCGTCGAGAATTTTATTCAGCAAAGAAAAGGCTACACGTTGTGGATATTCACTGTCACTGATGATAATCCCCGCGAGACCCTCAGCCCTTGCATAAGCATAGAACACATAGTCTAAGTGATAATGAAAGAGGGGAATGATTAGTTAGGTTGCCACATGACGCTCGTGAGATGACGTTTTAGATTTTGAGCATACTGTTCTCTTCGATAACTTGTCTTTGACCCGGATTCGTTCTTTCGGCTACAGTTTTTGCAAAAAAGGTCATGAACTCTTGAACACTAAAAAGCAAGCAGTTCGTTTACAAGTGAAATATCTCGAAATTTTTAAACACATTCCATAAAACTACTAACCTGCTTCGCTGGAAATAACCAAAATTAGTGAGATCATAATCTCCTACCAAGTTCACGGCATTTTTATCTTCCTTAGAGAAGATTGTGAGAGAGTATATCTTCATTTTCCAAGCAGGGAGTTTTATTTAAAAAAATTTTGAATTGAACAACAAATCCTAATACTGAGATCTCCGAAAAGTTGTGGCGGCCGGATGGTAGGTATGATTTTTTATTTATGCCCTTGCCACGGGTCCCCGTTTCTTTATATCGGAGGTCAATCTCATAACGTGACATTATAAAACGGTAACACGAAAGCCACAACTGAGTAAAGCTTGTGCAATTCAAATTATTATTTTTTTTTTATACATTATTAACTTTAATTAAAGATAAAGTTGACTACGTACAATAAAAGCTTCATTATAAAAAGTTGCATTGCATTCAAATATCAAATTACCTGCAAAGAGCTTTCATAACATAGACTTTATATGTACATGATAAATCCAACCGCACGACTTAACATAATTGGACTTCGTAATACGCAAAATAAAATAATTATGCGTGAGCATTAAAATATAAAGAGAACGGAATTCTGACATTAGATTCCCGGAGGATTCTGGATTCTTATCTTTGAACCTTTACGTTAGAAATGGAAAATTTTAATCTCAAGTCAAAGAATATCCTCTTTATTTTTCTATTCATCATTTTCAATGTCAGCATTCACCCGTTTGCACACAAAGGTAGGCACATGTTAATGGAATATGAACGAGCCATTTCGAATATATGTACCACAAATACTGCGGGATGTCTGACTTCATCGGCAACCAAAATCTCGTCAACTATCAAAACCTCATCTTCCAATACCTCATCTTCCAATACCTCAACTTCCAAAACCTCACCATCTACCACCCCATCACACACCACCACTAACTCATCAGCTGCCGCACTATCTGCTATCCCGACGTCATCAGTTGGAACTACTACAGTACCGACGTAAGGAATTCTCAAGTATTACGTTACGGGTTTATACTATCATGTCTCTCCTAAAAAAAAAATTTTTTTCTCTCGAAAAATGACTCAACTTCCAGTCAGAAGACCCAAAATACAATAACATTAACATCAACGACATTGATAAGTAAAACCTCGTATTATGTGCAATCATCATCATCATCATCATCAGATAATATTTTCCAGTCTTATGTTCCACCAAGCACTACTATAACTGAAATGAATACATCGACCAGTAGTTATTCTTACACTTCAATTGCAACTTCAATATCCGGAACAAATATACATCCGAGGAGTTATAAATTGTGGGATGTTAAATTGAATTTAATCATCATGTTGCTTAATTTTATGTATTTCACCACTTCGTGATAACAAGAGTTTAAACAACAACTACTACACGGTAAATAGTAGTACGCGCCGTACATTATAAAAGAATAAAGGTAATAGGTATACGTTTTCTAGCTACTGTTTGCAAAATACAATATAAATAAATGATATACAGTATGTACAGTATATTTATCCGGTAACTTATCAATAATACAGTGATAATTTTTTTTTTTTAATTCAATATCATGTTGTCATGATGCATCTTTATTGAGATATTAATTAAACATCTTCAAATTTACATTTTGAAAATTAACTTATCTTTATATATTATTAGTTAAAGGATTACACTGCTTGAAAAAAAAAAAAGAGAAATTCATTAAACTAGTTTGAATTAAACAAAAATTAAATCTCAATTAAATGCTTTAAGTCAGATTTACTATTGGTGTTATCAATGATTTATTATTATTGATTATCTTAATTTAATAATTTTTTTTTTAAAAAGAGTTAATTTAATTAAATATATTTTTTTGTTTTGAATTATCCAAGGAATTTATTTATTTTTAATGCAGTAGGTGACAAAAAAAATTGCTTTTTTTTCAAATAAATTTAATTTAATAAAGAAATTATCTAAATTAAATCAAATTTAAAATATAAATAATTAAATACTTAAAAATTAATTTACTTAAGACTATTTTATAACTATTATTATTATTATTATTATTATTATTATTATTATTATTTTGAGTACCCATAGCCAGGCTAGATTGTTAGTTTATTAATCAATTAAAAACATAAGTACATTTTCATTCAAGTAGTATAATACATATTATATCTAAACTATTATTCTAATCTAACTAACTCATTGTAAGCATAAAAGCCTCTAAATTTTATCTTAAGGACAATATTTCACTCTGCAATATCTTTGGGTGAAAACTCTCCTAGTCCACTACATTATTGTCAACAGATTATTACTGTCATATATCATACCAAGCTGCTGGAATATAAGAAACTACAAAAGGATAAGTTAAAAAGAAGGAGAGGGGATATCTAAAAATGTCTAAACAAACAACAAGAAAATCAAAGAAATTGAAAAAAATATTTTCAGCTTTCTCCAAAGACTTGCTTCTTAAGATCTCTTTTCAATAAGAAATATTTGATTGGAATATTTTTTCTTTTTCTAACCATCTGAGAAACTTATTCATTCTTAATCTTGATTTCCTTCTTATATACTATCTGAGGAGACTTATCACCTAGTGAGAACCTTTACTTTCAAGATATACTTGATCCTAACCTTTTTTGAACTGTAATTTTTTATCCACCTATAGTAGAGAGATAACTTATGATGAACCTCAGGTTCTTAGGTGACCTAGTAAGGACTAGGTCATGTTGTTTTAATGTGATACCTTCTAGTAGCCATGTTTAATTAATCCTTTTACCTTGTAATAATGGAAGGGTCTTAAGAATGATGAGAATCCTTGTCAATTGTGATATCTTTCAATAACTTCTGGAGAAATATATTTTCAACTGTAACCAAAGGGTTGAAGCTTAATATGGACTAGAAACCATTCAATCTTATTGCTTACTGGAATAAAAAGAACATGAAAAATAGTAGATACTTTAAGAAGGTACAAGATAGTATGTGAGAAGATGGATAATAAGTCTTTTTCTATCAATAAAATCTCTATTTATTGTTGCTTCTAGCTTTATAAGGTAATACTCTACTTGTCAGTCCTTTTATTTCCTAGAACCTTCTTATTCTTAATAGAGAAAGTGCATACTTAAGTCTTTTTAGATCACTAGAGACATAAGTTTTTATTCAAAAGAGTTTATAAACAAGTAAATAAGGGTAGGAAAGATATATGAAAACAAGCTTCAAGTTGTTTTAATAAAAGTGCAAAGAATTTATTAACAAAGAAATACAAAACTTCTTGCAAATATCTTTTTTGTGTATGATCAGAGAATCAATGGAAAGAGTTTCTATTTATTATTTTATATTTTTATTTTAATTAAAAAATTTTATATTATATACAAATTTTACAAACTAATATTTATAAATTTGATTTTTTAAATATAATTTTATATATAATTTGTTATAAAATAATATAATACTTATAACATTTATACAACTTAATATATAAAATTTAAAAAAAAATTAAAAATAATATCATTAAATTAATATAAATTATTTTAATTAAAAATTATTTTATAAAACTAAAATATTTATATTAATATTTTTTTA